CCCGCCGCCCCGGCCCTGGTGCGGGCGGAGCTCGCTGCCGAGCGGCCATTTGCGAACGCGGAGCCGCGGCCGCTCCGGCAGCCTCGCCCCAGCCTGGGGAGCCGATGCCCTCCTGGGAGCTCCCTGTGGGAGGTGCCGGCTCTGGGGCGCTCGAGGAGCACGCCCCATTAAACTTTCCAACACGCCGGGTAGGTAGGAGTGTTTCTCCCCCACCTTCTACCAGGGAAACTGAGGCACGGGCTGGGGCAGAGGGGAGCTAGAGCTGCGGTGTCCTGGCTCCTGGGGCTGCGCTCGCGGGTGGGTGAGGAGAGCAGGGCTGTGGCTGAGGCGCCAGCAGATGTTGGGGATCCTGAGACCTGACTTGGTGTGTAAATGCTCCGACAATATCAGGGACCCTTCGGGCTTGAATGCAGAGCAGGCCACCTGCTGTGCGTTTCCAGTGGAGAGGGAAGGAAATAAAGCTAGATTTATTTCACATGCTGTCGATATTAGAGGATGGTGGGATGTAGGTAGATGATACCTTCAACCTTCCTTATCCACACCACGGGTGCAGTCAAAGTCATGTGCGGACTCACTGGCCAAGGGCTGTCCCGCAGGCCTTAAAGTCCATTTGGGGGATTTCAGGTGGCTCCCTGCAATGCACCTTTTGGAGGGGCAAGCAACCTCTTCCACCTGTGGGCCAGAACAACCCACTCTGGCTCAAAGGCAGCTGAGCCGACACTAAGACGTCTCCCACCACTCCTCATCCCCGCTATGCCACGGGCAGAGCGCCTGCAGACCAAGGCTCCTGCTGCCAAAGGTCACTGAAGTGTCGTGTCTGTGGGCTGGTCCAACTCACAGGCCATAGGTTGCTGACCCCTGGCCTACCTTGATTTTCTACACCAATGTTAGCAACAGTGTATCTGTCCACCTAGTTCAGGCTGGTGGTAAGGAAATCCACAAAGCCTGGCAGTGCAGGGTCACAACTAATATGCCATTGGTTACACTAGTATATTCTAATAGTCTAGTCCATGATACTGTTACAGTAGGGGTGGATCTGTAGCTGGTTTAGGGCACGATCCTGTAAGAAGAGGCTGAGTACCTTTGTCAGCCAGTGAACTTCCTGCCTCCAGTGGTGGCTCAGCATTTCTTGGGTACAAGCCCCTAACTGACATGCCTCTGTGCTTCGTACAGCTGTTTACAGTGTAAATTTAACCATCTGCTCTCTCTCTCTGTGGCCAGTCCTTTATTCCCTTCACTTTTCCCCGCTTCAGGTGCTCAGTACGAAGTGTTTTGAATATTACTCAGTTTAAAAATCAAGGACACGATGGAGCATCTCAGCACAGCGCACAGCTCTGAACTCAGGAGTCACAAACCCAGGGTCTTCTTAAACCCAGGGTCTGAAACAAGCAACACAGCAGTAACATCTGTGCTGTAGTTTCCCTGCCCATCAGGTTGAACTCTGTTTCACAGGGATGCTGCAAGTAGGACTGGACGAGCAGACCAAAAGTACTTTGAAAAGACTGATATCAGTGCTAATTAGTAATAATTAGCATTGTCAAATATTGAAAAAATTCAGTGGCTTTAATTTGCCAGGGGTAAACCTCACTCCAAGACTGGGGGCAAAGGTTACATCCCAGTGCTGCTGGCCATGCTCATGCCCTTTGTTTTTGCTTTCCAGAAACATGTGGTGTACACTCGTCAGCCTGGACAGACTGAATCTCAATTGCACACACAACTATTTGGAGAACAAAAAGTTTCAAAATGACTCTTTGCAAGTGTTGGCTGAACCTGACGCATTCATTCAATCAGAGAACAGAGGTGCTACCATGTGACTCGCCCAACCAATCATAACCAGTGAGCACATTATGAACTTGAAGAACAGTGAGAACTGTGGTTTGCTGTCGCATGCTGCACTGTGGGTGCTCCTCTCTGCCCCTCAGTTACCTGGAGCACTGCGGTGAGCTTGCTCGAAGTGTCCCTTTCTCATCACCAATTGCTGTGCCCCAGCAGGTGATTCATTCATGACCCCAGACTCCAAAGTGCATCTCTATAGCCCCTCTCCCATCTTGGGGATAGTACCCTACAGTCTTTCCTCTGATCTGTAGTGACTCCACCTCACTCCCACTCCTAGGTGCCAAACCACAACCCCTGCATAAAACTGCCAGAGCCAATTTTCCACCCGTGCCTTGTTGCTTCCTCAGGCCATCTCCTCACTCACCTCCTCTGGAACACATCTCTCCCTCCATTTCCTGAGTTCCTCAAAGGCACTGATGGCCCTCCTCAGTCTTCACCACAGGAGATTTCTTTCAGTATCATCTCGGCCTCTGAGACCAACCTGCAGCTCCCTTCTTTCCAGGCAAGGCCCAGCAGCACCAGCTTCCTTTGCTGCTTCTCCTGGACCAAGTGTCCTGGAAGGCAGCAGGTAGTTCCTGGTCTGCAGGCCACACACTCCCTAGAGGTCTCTGTGCTTTCTTCCCAGCCAGGGACCTTCCACTAGGACTTCTCCATCCTAAGTCAACAGACAAGGCTAACTGAACAGTGCTGACCAGTGTCAGGCCATTGAATGGGCAGGCTACCCTTTTATAGTCACAGAAAAAAAGCAGCAAATTAATCAAGCCAAGGGGAGATTTGCAGTAACACGAATGGAAATTAAGTGCCCAGCTCTCATTTTCACCTTTGACAATTCTCTTATCAATGATGAATGAATGATTTGTTCAGCCCTATCTATTAGTTTGGCCTTGCTAAGCAGGACAGCTTAGTACTTTTCATCCCCCTGGGCTGACCAGACCTAGTTTTTTGAGGGGCTGTGCCAGGTTCCCAGCTAGATACACTGAAGCAGCCTAGATTCAGCTACTGGAGTGAGTGGTGTGCTAGCTAACCCAAGTTAGAAATCCATCCATCCTTCCTTCCTTCCTACATGCTCTTCTCTCCACCTTGGGGGAGCATGGGGGCCAGTATCTGTTTCTGTGTTGGGCCCGGTAATGTACTGTGTCCCACTGAGTAGAACAGCTTCCCACCATAGTTAAACAGAAGGCAGGGCAGGGTGGTGCATTGGAGACAAAAATGAGTGACGCTTTTTTTCAACATCAAATCAAGCATGACCCAGCCAAAGAACCCTGAAGCAAATGAATCAACCAGTTGCCTTTCTTCCACAACACAACTTTTATTGCCAAAATTGAACAGGCGATAGAGACTCAAAGGAGTTTACTAGGGACTTTGTTCCTGCTGATTGAATTTACACAGAGGGTGTTGAGAGAGAGTGGTGATGGGCAACCATACAAGGCACTAATGTCTATGTCTGGATAGGGCACAGTGCAGCACAGGAGGCTGCAAATCCCCTGAGCACTACAGATATGTGCCCTGAGGAACTCCAGCTGTTCTGGTGATGCCTCGCTTTGTCTACTGCTCTGTGCACACACACTTACACTGGAGGCTGAAGGATATGCAAGTCTCAGCACGTAGGCAGCTTCTGAGCCACAAGCCAACCTGGTGGCTTAACTAACTTGATACATCCCATCACCTCCCCTGGGTCCAAGCAAACAGATCCCCTGCATGATCTGTTCCCAGCATAGGAATGGGAGCTGAGCCAATTTATAACACAAGCCAGCTCTGCCCCAGCTGGGGAGTCTTCAGGAACAAGGAGGCTGTTTACACTTACTTTCAGACCCCTTCATGCTGCCAGAGTGAGGGGAGAAATCATCCAACTAAGGGACAGGCCCTAAGTGAGTGTGTGACAGTCATACAAAAGCAGGGCTGGAAGGCAACTGGAGGAGGTCATCTAGTCCAACCCTATGCTCAATCCAGGATCATTCCTATCCAAATTGTCCCATACAAGTGCTTGTATAACCTATTCCTAAAATTACACAAACTCCTCTGTCATACAATTACAAGGCACATTGGCCCACGACACCAAGAAAACCCTACCCTGCCACAGGTAAAGCAGGGGGATGAGGGCACTGTCAATGTCCTGCCCCTGCAAGGATTTTTAAAATACACTCAAGATCCAAGGAAGAGGGCCCTGCTCCCATAGTGCAGACATGTTTGGCTACACCTTGCCTTAGGTATGTTTCTGCAATTATGATACCCCTGTATCACACACAGGTAAAGGTGACCTGAAGAAGGGCAGAAATGGGGGTTCTGGTTTTTCAGTTTCTTCATAGTGTTTTAACAAAATCTGAAAGGTGATTTGATTGCTACATCACTAATGGAAACATCTGGCATGTCAAGTTTTATCCTCCCTATTTTGCTGGAGGTCTCTCAGACTCCTGAGATACAGACTGGGGGCTCTTGCAACCCATACCAGCATGGACAGGGTGTCAAATATTTTTCCATATAACCCTTTTTCCCAGATGCAAAAGGAAATGGCCTGAGTTTCGGAGGTGCCAAGCACCCACAGCTTCCACCAAATTTAGTGAGAGAGCTGGTGCTAGGGCACCTCCGATATCTCAGCCCAAAGACCTTGAATGAAAACCATGTCCTTATTCATAGATGTTTGGGATGAAAGTGACCTTAGCAGATCATCAAGTTCAACCCCCTGCCCTGGGCAGGAAAGAGCACTGGGGTCAGATGACCCCAGCCAGGTGCACGTCTAGCCTCCTCTTAAAGATCCCCAGGGTAAGGGAGAGCACTACCTCCCTTGGAAGCCCATTCCAGATTCTGGCAACCCTTACCGTAAAAAAGTTCTTCCTGATGTCTAAACTAAATCTGTTCTCTGCCAGTCTGTGGTCGTTGTTCCTAGTTACCCTAAGGGGTGCCCTGGTAAATAGGGAATCTCCTATTCCATGCTGTCCTCCCCTGATGAATTTGTAAGTGGCCATAAGATCACCTCTCACCCTTCTCTTGCAGCGGCTGAAGAGATCCAGGACCCTCAGTCTCTCCTTGTGAGGTTTTGCCTGCAGCCCCCTAACCATATAATTGACCCTCCTCTGAACCCTCTTGAGGTTGTCCACATCCCTCTTGAAGTGCAGTGCCCAAAACTGCATGCAGTACTCCAACTACAGCCTGACTAATGCTGCATAGAGGGGAAGTATCACCTCCCTGAACCTGTTTGTCAGGCACCTGCTAACGCATGATAAAATATGGTTAGCTTTACTGATGGCTTTGTCACATTGTCATGTTCATCTTGGTATCAACAATGACTCCAAGATCCCTTTCCTCTGCCATGCTGCTGAGAAGGTCCTCCCCCAGCCTGTAAGCATGCTGGTGATTCCTTCTTCCTAAGCGCAGCACTTGCATTTGTCCTTATTGAACCACATCCTGTTCTGTTCCACCCATTTTCCCAACCTGTCCAGATCTGCCTGGATTAGTCCCCTACCCTCTGGTGTGTTAACTTTACCCCATAAGGTAAAGTTAAGGAATATCTTGAGAAGCTGGATACCTTCAAGTCAGCCGG